CATCTGCCCATCACTTGGAAGGGGAACTTGAATCCATGGTTTCCCATACCCCAGGTGCATATTGTAACAGCTGGACTGAAATGAGGGAGCTGCTTCTTTCTCCCTCCCCCTGCCCCCAGCAGCTTTCTGTGGGCTCCCCTGCAGGCCCTGATCTGGTAGGATTGGGCCCTGCAGGTGAGTTCAGCAGAGGAACGTCTGTATCCCTCCCCCCAGTTTGCACATCACACTTAGGTGGCTGGCCCCTAGAGCACGTCTGCAGCACACAACGCTCAGAGGCAGAAACACAGGCATGGAGGGAACTGTTATTGGGAAACTGAGGCACTGAGTTAAGGCACCTACAGCACTGGGGGGGGGGGCAGAAATCCCAGTGAGGCCAGATTCTTGTATTTAGGTGTCTAAAGTGGCAGTCAGGGGCCAAAGTCCCTTGGGGAATCTAGCCCCCATTCACACACAACCACAGTCACACACACAATACAGTCACTGCCACACTGACTAGCCCCTCTCCCTCCAGCCCCATGCCAAGCTGTTCACCGGGCTCACCTCCCCATACCCACCCCTGTGGGCAACGGGCAAGTGCCCTGCAATGAGTCATACAACCCAGCCTCAGCTCCCAGCTGGGGAGGGGGTGCGCATTGCACCCCAATGGTCCTGCAGAGAGCGCTGTCCCTTTGTACCCCAGCCCAAGGATCAGTACCTCTAATCTCAGCTGCCTTCACTCCCTTCAGGGGCAGCTCGGCATCCTCCAGGGCTGGAGACCTTCTCAGGGCACAGATGGTCCCCACAGTGACTGGTAGCAGGGAGCAAAGCTCTGATCCTAGAGTGGATGGAGTCCCACTTGCTTGCCCAAGAAGAAGCGACAGGCAGGGAAGGAGACTGTGCAGGGTGAGTGTAGAGATAAGGCTTAGAACCCAGGAGTCCTGGCTCCCAACTCTCCCTGCTCTAACCCACTAGACCCCACTCCCCTCCCAGTGATGGGGATAGAACCCAGGAGTCCTGAGGCCAACATAAAGAGGCAGCCCTCATCCTTTACTCTATGGCAGCTACAGCTCAGACCAGCTATACAGAACAGTCTGTCTCCAAAGCACCAAGACACAGCAGAAATATTTGACAAGCCACAGAATCCCGTGGAGATGGCACCCTGGGAAAACACATCTCTTCAGTCAATGGCAGTCCCCACAGAAGAGCTAATCAGAGACTCTGATGTCAGAGCAGGGTGGGGGCTGGGAGTCAGAACACCTGGATTCCAGCCCCAGTTCTGGGAGGGCAGGGAAGGCTAGTGGCTAGAGCTGTGTCTCCATGGTCCCCTCAGTGTTTGGCCTCTCTGCTGAGGCTGCTGGCCAGGGAACTGCTTAGTGCAGCTGGGATGGAATTGTCTTCCACAGGGTCAGCTGTCTTGCTCATATGGGGACCAAACAAGGTACAATGATAATTACAGGCTTATGACAGAGTCATAGAGAAATGGCCCCTTACTTCTTCCCCAACC